TCTCTCTCTCTCTGTCTCTCTCTCTCTCTCTCTAAATCAGTGTTTCATCATCCCACGAGAATTTGGAGGGAAACCCATGAAATATATGTATGCATGCATGATAGATATACATATATATATATATATATGTATGTAATTAATATTACATGTAAAGATGAGTATTTTGTGATAGAGACGAATGAAAGGAGGTGAAAGGGGCTTTAATTAAAGAAAGGGTATTGATCATCATGATGACATTCAACCTCTTTTCTGTCTTAGATTCAATTACTAAATGAAGATTTCACCCAACATAATCATTCTCAATATATAACTGTGAGTAAAAAAAAAAAAGAAATATATAAAACAACATATTTTCTTGTGACATCCCAATTAACAGATTTAATCTCTCGATAAAGAATTACAAAATTTACTGAAAAATAATCATTAAAAACTATTTTTTAAAGAAAAATAGAATGAAATGATCTTGGTTAATTAATTTGAGTATTCATAAATTTAATTTAATTTGAGTCTAATAATTTCTATACTAGCGTACGTATTGAAAAATATAATACATTAAGGCCTTATATATATATATACTAGTATATATATTTTGTTGGAAAGGAGGTTTAAAAAAAGTAAACCATGGAATTGATATTTGTATAGGCTCCTTTTCCATAGTCTTACAAAACCACTTTGTCAATGTACTTTATTGGATTGATATTTGATAGATTTTACCTTTGACACTTTATCAACTTCAATTGTTTCTTCTATATAGTTTTATTCACACCCACCCACCCACATATATATATGTATGTGTGTATATATAAACATCAAGGTAGCTTTTTGGTCCGATGGGTAATCAAATGCTTCTCTTGTTTTCTGGACTCCAATGATCTATCCATATACGCTAAAACCCTCGTTCCAAGTTTTTTTTATAACGGAAGACCCCTACGTGCTACCCCTTCGGACGCGCTGACTAGATAAACTTTCGATCCGAGAGCACTCTTTGTATATGGGTCATATAAACCCAGAAATTATCTTCCTCCCTACCAGTCAGGAATCGAACATTCAACCTCAAGGTTGAGTTACCTCATACCCCAAGCTTGATCACTCGCCCACGATCTGTTGGGTCCTCGTTGCAAGTTATAATATGGTTAGAATTTATATATGTGTGTTTGCGCGCGCAAGTTATAAACTATCACAGAGAGTTTGATTATAATTTTTATCCCCTTTTAAGTTTGGACTTTAAATTGTGATGAGAAATAATGTTTTCATCCATATAACACAAAATTAATTTATAAAATTGTGTTTGATCAGTATCCAAAATTTGGGTCAACGTTGATATTTCTTATTTTAAAAGACGAATCGGGTGCTTGTAATTTCTCAAAATGTAGAGGTGAAGGAGAGATTAAGATTAAGGAAGAAGCTAATAAACGTTACATTACTGTTTCGCATGACGCAACGATGAGGGAAATAATTACAAATGCATGGAGGAAAACATAAAGAAAAACTATATAATATATATTTTTATTATGAAATATTTGGTAGGCTGTCCATATCAACTTTATCCGTTACTTTTATCCTTTTTTTTTTCTCGCCAAGAATAAGGTTGTTAAATCATATGGTACATACTATGAAAGAAGGAATATTTCGCTTGATTTAACATATATATATATATATATATCCAATATATTTAATAAAAAAACATCAAAAAATATATGCCAAATAAATAGATGGACAAAAGTACCAAAAATATATGGAACGATCCAAATCCAAATAAAACATAGATGAAAATCGGAATATGTATATGTATTTCGAATTTTTTTTTTGGTGAAATATTTCAAATGATATGGCTCTGGCTCTGCGCCGACTGGACCTATATATATATATATATGAAATGTGTAACTAGTACGTAAATAATGTTTTAAAAATCAGAAAAGTGATTCGGTTTGGGTAATTGGGTCATATCATGTTCGGATACATTAGGTTTGGGTTTATCACAAAAATATGGTTCTGGACCTCATGTGGGCTTACGGTAAATCACTGAGATTTATAATAATAATAATAATAATAATAATAATAATAATAATAAATTATTATTATTATTATTATTACTATTCATGACTATTTATGTCGCAAGTTCCGGTTAAGGTGTCAAACTCAATTAGATATTGTCAGTGATATTTTTTTATGAATAATCAAGACATTATTCGTTTCAAACTTTTCTATTTCGAAAATAGCATTCTAAACAAATCATCTAAGATTTTTCATATTATTAATAATAAACTTTAACTTTAACCGCTTGAATATTTTTTATTCTAAAATTAGTTAATCAAATACTTAAACAGAACATCTATAAACAACTAATTAAGAACATATCATCAAACACACACGTGCGTAATCGTGTGGTTTAATAGAATTGTATTGGAATTTATATCGCAAAACATGCATTGATATTCACATAAATCAATACATATATATATATATGTGTGTGTGTGTGTATATATATATAAGAAGTGTTGAATTTTCGTACAGGCTCGCACATAAACAGAGTGGTTCGTCAGTATAAAATTTCTATGGAGCAAACCAATTAAAGGAAAAGGCTCTGCATTAATATCGCAAGTCCTTGCGTACGTACCCATTCCTCCCCGACACACACATATTCATAACCCCCATCTCTCTCTCTCTCTCTCTATACGAATCCCAGAGAAGAAACCCATATGAAAACCTTCGTCCTCTCTCTCGTTCTCTCTCTATTCTTCGTCGTCTCGTCACTGTCGAATCACGAAACCGGATTACGAGAGAAACCCGACACCAATGACGTGCACGATCTCGTTAACGTCAAGAAAACGACGCCGTTTGTGTTGACTCGACTACAACAAGACCGTCGTCTTCATCATCGCCGCCGTCGTGGTCGCATTCTTGACCACGATCACGGGAGGGAACATTTCAAGATGGTCAAGAAGAGGAAGCTGAAGAACTACCGGCCGGTCGGACCGGGTCAATTTGCGGTTATGCTGCCAAAGGGATCCAGCCCTCCTAACTCCGGTTCATCTCATTGCCACAACCGAACCCCCATCTCTCTCTCTATTTCTTGCGATCTTTCTGTCTCTGTAAAACCCTAGAGCTCCAAAAAAAAATATTATATGCCATATTGGTACGATTGCGTTGGCTCCTTTTTCGTTAACCTTTGTTTGCGTGCATGCATGTTCTCTCCTCTTTTTTTTTTCTTTTTTTTTTTGCTTATTTTCATTATGAAGAAAATGATCGATGCATTTTTCAGAATGCCCAATGTATTGAAAATATTCGAATATACACGTCAAATATTGCTTATATTTGGATTAGTGCATTGTTATTTTGTTTTTTTTTGTTCTACTTCAGAAATTTAAAGATAATAATATATCACTATACCCGAATTAAGAAGTTAAAATTAATACTTATATACATGTGGGTTATATATATATATATATATATATATATTGCAGAATATGAGCATATATTTGCCTGTTTGTAAGTCTCAAAACGCATCGTATTACGCTAATACAAGAGTACATTAAGCCGATATAATTGGGAGGAGGCATGTGGATTTGCATCGTTAGCAGAAGCTCTTGTTTCATGGGGTTATTATTTCTTCACTCCCTACATTTCCACCTGTCCAATGCATAAAAAAAATATAAATGAAATTCTATAAATGGCTAAAAATATAATATATCATAAATTCGAAATTCTGAGAACGTACGAAAATATGTTATAAATGATTGTTGACTAATATATGGTTCGCCCATATAATATAAAAATAATAATTGAGATTATGTGGTCCTGAATCCTGATCATCTAAATTGATTCGCAGCTTTACAAAGCAACAACTTTTGCATATGTGATGGGTTTTTTTTTTCTTCTAAATATTTTGATCTATACAGTTTTAAATCGTACATTATCATACAGAAAATTTACATGTAATGTGTATCTCACACGTACAAAATATGTACGCACACATAATAATCGTGGGCCGTGGTTTACTACCCAACATCTAATGGGGCAAAACTATTTGGGCCTTGAAAAGATTAAGCCCAAAATCAAATTTGAAATTTATCAAACAAAATATCCTTTTTGGTCACCCAAAAGCATAAATTTACAAATTTAAACTAAGTTTTGGGTATATTTTTTGTACATTTTTTTTTTATAAATTTTCATTGGATTGAGCTTTAGAATAATATCGATGTACAATCTAAATATTCTATGCATTTAATATGACCGAATATATAATATAGTGGAGTGTGTATATATATATATATATATATATATGAGTATTTTTCAGTCAAGAAGAATATGCTTCCCACGCACATTAGACGGCCCAACAGACTCAGTATTCATGCAATTCCCATTTTATCCCCGCGTTCACGTTCTTCTCCCTCCTCTTTCTAAGACCCATTTTCGTCATTTCATCTCCTCCAAAAACAAATCCCTGTATAAGCAAGCCATCCCTATTTCTCGAATCTCTGAAATTTCAAATCTGAATTTGTTTTTATTTTCAAAACTCCATCAATGGCGTCTCAGCAGACGATCTCAGATCACAGAGAAGGTGCGGAGGTCTACAATGGCGGATCCACCTGCAAGCAGAAAGCTCAAGAGCTCTTGTCCTCCATGAACTTGCCCAAGGGGCTTCTTCCACTGGACGACATGACCGAGCTCGGACACAACAAATCCACCGGTTTCGTCTGGATCAAGACGAAGAACAAGGTTCAGCACCGGTTCCGAGCGATCGGACGGATGGTATCGTACGATTCGGAGGTGACGGCGTTCATCGAGAACCGTCGGATGCGTAAGGTCAGTGGGGTAAAGAGCAAGGAGCTTCTGATTTGGATCACCATCTCCGAGATCTTCGTCAACGATCAGGATCCGTCGAAGATCACTTTCGCTACTCCGGCGGGGCTCTCCCGTACTTTCCCCTTCACGGCTTTTGAGGAAGATTGCTGAACAAAAAAATTGCCCTAATGGTTCCGAGTTGACTTTTTCGTTGCCTTAGCTCAATTATCTCTGTGTTTCCTCTGTTCGTTTCCTTTTACATATTCTGTTTGGTTCCTAGGCTACAGATTCAGTATCTGAAAAAGTCAAAAACATCATAAATAATTTAAAATTACATTTTTTTTTTTCATGTAAGAGACGAAAATTGAATCCTCGTTTTGTTTAGAACTGATCCGACATTGAATACGAGTTTTGTTATGGATTTTTTTTATAAAAAAAAAAACAGAGGAAAGAAAAAAAAACGGTTTATTTGGGACCCACGGCAAAGGTCCGGTTTAGTTCTGGTTCGTGGCACTCGGCCCAATGATGCCAGTAAATGGGCTGAAATTTGGGCCTAATGTATAATCTGCCTGGCTCAAAATGTAAAAGGAAAAGAGTTTTTATTAATAATTAATAAATAAATAGAAAAATGCTTAGCAAATGCTTATGTATCATTGATAATATGTATTATAATCTCTAATGAAATCCCAAGACAGAATATCATTCTTCTTCGGACCAACTTCATTTCTACAAACACAATCTTTTTGTTTTTTTTTTTCTAAATACAAAACCCAAAAGAATATAAATCAATAAATAGTTAAATAAAAGAAGAGGAAAGATAGATAAATGGGATTCATTCATTCATTCAACCCCACATGTCGGTGAGATAGTTCTTGCAGCTACTGCTATCGAGCGACCAAGACTTGTGATCTGCCCATCTTCTTCTCGTCTTCTTCAGAGCCTTTGTCATTGCCACGTCATCATCTTGCTCGATTGCGTCCTTCGTCTTCTTCATATTATGTCTGTATTCAACGACAACTTGTTCGAAGACTTCAGCTTCGAACATGTTCACGCCGACCTTAGGATTCATTTGGTCTCTCACGAAGGCAAATGGCAGTTGGTCCCTTGGGTTGAATGCCTCTAACTCGTTGAACACGAGGCACGAGAATAGGTTGCTCCTCTCCCCGTGTCTCCTCAATATCAACGCACTGTCCGGTACATCTGTTCATTCAAAACACGTTTACCGTAAGGATCCGCCATTGATGCTTTACTTATAGCCCTAATTTAATCTCTTTATCGAAGAATAATTCCAAGAACCCAAAAAAAAAAAAACAAAGAACACTACTCAAATACATCTACAAGTTAGAAGAACGACATATATGATCATGAAATCCTTCCGTTTTCCGTAAATCAAGGACATGAGGTACATTTGATTGTATAAGAGGCTATATATATATATATAATATTATATAATATATATATCGATGGTCGTTTTGTAACAAATCGAGCAGCTAGCAGTAGCCAGTAGGTGGAAAATGTCTCATGCATGATTATCCGTTATTTTTTTTTCTTTTAAAGATGGCGAAAAAAAAGGGGGAGAAAGAAGAAGAACAAAACCTAGCTAACTGAAGACAATCTTCGTGCATCTCTTTCCGAAAAGCTTTGAATATATCAAAATTATAGACGAAGAAAAGTACCAAAGCTCATAGTATATCATCCTGAATTCCAGCTATTACTTACATACATAACGATACGTGCGTACATGCATGCATGCATATCTAAATGCAAAAACCAGAATGCAACCATCGATGATTTCAGTTTCATATATAACCTTTAACCCATATATATATATCCAAAATATAAAGACAAATAGTTTTTACCTGTGGGATAAGGCAGCTTCTCAGGGCTCCATGGGTTCAAACCAAACTCACAATAACTCTCCATTTGCCTCGCCAGTCCATCCACTTCCCCCCATTTCTTCCACCTCGCGGTGGCCATCGCCTCTTCCATCGTATTCACGAAAAACGGGTGCTTAGATATCGCCATATCGGCCCCGGGTACCACCACAAGCGAATGAATCAGCAGAAATGGATCGACCATGAGTTGTATTTTCGCGTCCACCCATATGCTGAATCTCGAGTTTGGAAACAATCTATGGATTAGGTACTTTGGTATCACTCCGTTCATTGCCGGATTAGCGTATAAATTATCGGATTTATCAAGTTTGACGATCCTCCAAACCCCGATTCTGTAGTTTCCGGGATGGTTTTTGGGGATCAAGTCGTGGTGGAAGAGAGAGTTTAGGGTTTTGTCATCGATGAACATGTAGAAACATACGGTTTCTAGGGTTTTGACTCCGAGTCCGACCGGCTGTCTGATCTTGTCGTGGTCGTCGAAGATTGCTGATGCCACAACCATGGCACAACTCTCCATCTCGGTTCTGTCTGTGAAATTATGGAAACAAAATAAGTGTTTGTTACATATTTTTATTAAATCAATGTCACATTCAATGGAGACAGAGATGTGTCTACTTCAATCTTTACAAAGTGTCGAGTAGACAAACTGTAAAAACACTGACAGTGAAAGATCATGTGTTATTATATATCGTATGTCCAATGAGCAATCAACGTCCCAAATCTAGCAAGGACCAAAACGTAACAGTTAATGAACTTAGCAGTAATAACACGACCAAATCTCGAAACAAGTTATAGGGTTTTTTAAACGGGATATATAAGGACAAAAACATTTACTTCACATATATATATATATATATATATATATATATATATATATATATTCTCGAAATGTTAATATATTGTCCACATGTTTTTAAATAAATGAAAAATAACATTTTTTAAATATCGAACCGGTTAGCGATAAAACCGGCTTCACTAAACAGAGTTAGTTTGAAGTATTTTGTGTGTTTTTTTTTCTCTTCATTTTATTACGAATGCTTCTCTGCCAGTTGCTCACCGGAATCACTGATCGGAAAATCTCTGAAGAAGCCGCATGGAACTTCGACGTCGTGATTTGAATGATCGAAATAAGAAAATCTCTTCTGGGTGCTGAAATTTCCTCCAAAATTCTCACTTTTCCCCTTCATGTATCTCAGATTCTCCGACAAGGATGAGTTTTTAAGGATACCGTCCATCTCCTTCAGCACTGTCCAATAATCTGATTCTCACAAATAAATAAATAAGGATTAGATATGATCAGAGATTCAATTGAAAAAAAAGCACAAAAACCCAAAAAAAACGAGGCAGAAATCCACCGTTCTTCGATCGAGAAATCCAGAAAAAGATCACCCCCTTCCGAAGAATCTCAGAACTCAATCCCAAAACAAACCCAGAAAGGCAAGAAAGGGGGAAATGGGAGAGATCGTACCTGAGAAGAAGAGAGGGGAAGAACAAGAGGATCTGTGAGTGGGAAGAAGGAGGATAAGAGAAGAGCTTTGTCTGAACCGGATCGAACGGCGAATACCGGAAAACGCATCGGTTTCTGGAGAGAGATACGTAGAGGAAGAGGAGGAGGGTCGTTGTCAGATACAGAAGAGAAATGCATAGGAGCTTCGATCTCACGCAGAGAGGCGGAGAATTCCTTATTCTTATGAATCTCCCCATTGGTGGAGATACCTTCTCAATGGTGGGTTCGATGACGAAGAATCTTCATGCGAGTCTGTGCTGATGAATTCTAAGAGGAAAAAAAAAACCTTTTTTTTTTGCTGTTTTTTTCTCTCAGTCACTTAAGAATCACCTGATAATATGGTAATGTGATGGTCATTTTTTGATTTTGGTTTGGTTATATTCGAATGCGACTATTTTATATTTATTATAAAAAAATATAAATATTTAGCTTTATATTGAATCTGATTTGTCAAAGATATAAATGGTTCGAATAGAATATATGAAACTAAAAAAATATAAATATTAAAATCTGATTTGATTTTATAAAGCTGAACCAAAATAGAATCCAATGTTAAATGGTTCGATTAAGTTTTGGTTCTAAATAAATACCAAACTATAATATTTATATATATATCGGTAGATAATTCGAATTTTGATTCGTTTTCTATTAAATTCGGTTTGATTCAGTATTTGTAGGTTTAGTTTAGAAACGATTTATTCGATTCTATAAAAAAATATATCAAATTAGAACCAAATGTTATTCGGTTCGATTGGTTAATTTGTTTTGATTTAGAACTAAATTCCCGAACTAAAATGCCCACCTCTAGGTCCATTTATCCGAATTCCGCTTTGGCATTAATGATTAATATACATAAAACAATTAGGAACTATTTTTGTTTATTCTTTTGGTGTTTTTTTTTTTTGTATAATTGAATATAGACCGGTTTTCACGTTCGGCCCGGTTTACAACTGAATTCCGGGACAAACCAGATATCATTCATGGTGGGCCATAAATGGATCTTATGAAACCGATTTGGGCTTTTCCTTTAGAATTTTTTTGGCCATTTGAAAAAATAATTACAAAGGGGAGAATAAATTTAATATTAATAAGAATAATTTTCAGTCTCTCGGTCTCTCTCTCCGCCGCGTAGGTCTGAGCAAAGAAAGAGCTCTGTGGAAGCCATTGTACCATGTCCTCTTGATTCCCACTCTTCCTCATCCATTTCATGTCTCTTCCCGCCAAGCGCTCTACTTCCTCCTCCGCCGCCACCTCCGATTCCGCCGCCTCCTCTCCTCCGCCGATGAAGAAGGCGAAGAACGGCCTCCACCACCCGCCTCAGCCGCACGACGACAAGGAAGTCTTCCCTATGGACGAAGATTCCGCCCGCGCCCCCGCCTCCAATCTCTCCCGGAAGAAGGCCACTCCGCCTCAGCCCGCTAAGAAGCTCGTCATTAAGCTCAACAAAGGTTTTGCGTCATTTCCGATTTCGTCGTATCCGATGTTTTTTCGCTCGGATTTGTTTGGAGGGTTTTGGTCTATTTTGTGATTGATCTGACTAGTGCTTCGTGATACTTAGGGTTTGTAATTGCGATTGTTCTCTTAGCCTAGCTTGCTGGATTTTAGGGTTTTGGTGGGTTTGCCGGGTGATTACTGGAGGTTGATGGGAATTGTATAGCTCTAGCTTTAATAATTTTGGGGAATTTTTCTGGGAGGGAATCCAACCATGTCGATTATTGGTGCCACTTAGTGGCCGGTATGTCTGAATCTGTTTGACATGCGGATTTAGTAACTATAGATCCTGAGTTGTGGATATCAGAGTTGCTCTCATGTCTGTAACTAAGTGTTCCTAGGAGTAACTTCCTGTCTCATCCGTCACTGGAGAATTGTTTTCTTCTTCCCTGGACCTGATGGGTTGTGTGGTGGAATCTTAAATGCTTGAGGGATTTTGTGAAACTAACTTTCCTTTCTTGGTTCTGTGCACAATGTAAATATATTGCAATGGCATTTGCGCTTTCTATATACGATTTTATGTGCGGTCCAGACTCCAGTTACTTTCTTTTTTTCATGAAGCTTGGTTGGATCGGCGCAACCAAGTACAAAAACTTGTGTATTCACTGCTTTCCTTCTGGAGAGTTATTGTCATTATGAGTGGCACTGCTTTGAATTGAGTGTGTGAGTTGAAGTTGGATAGACAATCTATTGATATCCACTTGGCGTTTTTTGACTTTTCTCATTGTTTTATTTTACTGAAGCTAAACCAACATTACCCACAAACTTTGAGGAGACTACATGGGAAAAACTGCAATCAGCTATCAGAGCTATATTCATGAAGAAACCGGTGTCTTTTGACCTTGAAGGGCTTTACCAGGTGAAGTGACTTTTCATTGCTAGTTTCTTTGTTTGGGAGTACTTTTGTTGTCCGGAAAATACCATGTTGATGAGAAGGTAATTATGTCATCAGGCTGTTGATAACCTTTGCCTACATAAGATGGAAGGAAAACTTTACCAACAGATAGAGAAGGAGTGCGAAGAGCACATCTCTGCCGCCTTACAATCCTTAGTTGGAAAAAGCACCGATTTTTCTGTTTTCTTGTCACTTGTTGAGAAATGCTGGCAAAACTTCTCTGACCAGATGCTAATGATCCGTAGTATAGCTTTGTCATTGGACAGAAAATATGTAATACAGAACCCCAATGTACGTTCTTTGTGGGAAATGGGTCTGCAGCTTTTTCGGAAGCATCTCTCCTTATCCCCTGACGTTGAGCAGAGGACTGTTACTGGTCTTCTAAGAATGATTGAACAGGAAAGGTAATCCTGCAACATTTTGGTCTTGCAAGAATATTAGAGAAGTTAAAGTATAGCACTGGATTTGATTTCCGTACTTTGACTTATTTATTTGTCTGGTTTATGAACCATTGAGTGTTTGGATGGTTTATGAACTTTTTTTTTCTGATGGTGATTAATTACTTTTGGTTCTTATTGAAGTCAACAAGAATACTCAGAAATCATGCCACTCATAATTCTTTTTATTTTTCCCAAATGAATCTTTTGAGTCTTTGTTGAATTGCGTTATTGGTTCTCCAGACTAGGTGAAGCTGTTGATAGGAGTCTGCTAAACAATCTTCTGAAGATGTTTACCGCATTGGGAATATATGCGGAAAGCTTCGAGAAACCTTTCCTTGAATGCACTTCTGAATTTTATGCTGCCGAAGGAATGAAATACATGCAGCAGTCTGATGTTCCTGAGTACTTGAAGCATGTTGAGGTGCCCTCAAACTACCTCAAGTAGTTTTGTGTTTTGTTGCTCCTTATGATAGGCTTCAGTTTAGCTTATTTATTGTTCTTCCTCCTGAAATGTATCTACGGGTCATTGTTGCAGGAAAGGTTACATGAAGAGAATGAAAGATGCAGACTATACTTGGATGTTGGCACCAGGAAACCACTGATAGCAACTACGGAGAGGCAACTTCTTGAACGTCATATACCTGCTATTCTTGATAAGGTTTTCCAGTGTTCACTGTGATTCTGGAGGATTGGCAAGTTGTGAACCGTGCTAATTTTATCTTTACATAATCACCCAGGGATTTACGACGTTGATGGATGGACGTCGGACTGAAGACCTACAGAGGATGTACACCCTGTTCTCTCGAGTGAACGCACTCGAATCTTTGAGACAGGCCCTAAGCTCCTATATTCGGAAAACTGGGCAGAGGATTGTCATGGATGAAGAAAAAGATAAGGATATGGTACCATCTTTGTTGGAGTTCAAGGCTTCTCTTGACACAATATGGGAAGCAAGCTTTTCCAAGAACGAATCATTTGGCAATACCATTAAAGACTCATTTGAGCACCTGATTAACCTACGCCAGGTATCAAAGACTTCATTCTCTTTCTAATTATGATCAGATTCTAGTGCTAACAAACATTTTTTTCCATGGAAAACCAACACACATTTATATGGAAATTCTATTGTTCACAGCAATGCTATATTGGACTTTTGAAGAATTTGCTTCAATTGGAAGATTTAATATGATGACTGTGCATTGTATAGTTGTCGTTTCTTAAATATATTTCCTCTCATTGTGGCCAATTTGCTGTGGTGCTTGGGCAAGTATAAGCCACTTTAGATTGGACCAAATAATGTGGCCAATTTTGCCCAGTAATTTGTCTTAGACTTTAGTTTTCAGGAACTAAGTAGTTTATGGATGTGGAGATAGCACTAAGTATGATCTATGGTTTATGCATCCATCTTGAGATTTGTTTGCATCAGTTTTCTTTTCAATGTTGACTCACCAATGTGGCCTTGGGGGTGTTACATCTTTGAGTGTTGCAAACTAGTCATGTCTTTCAATTGGTAAATAAATATATCATATCGTTCTGCCCCTTTTGCAGAATCGGCTGATCTTTTTGGATGAAAAACTCCGTGCTGGGAATAAGGGTACCTCCGAAGAAGAGTTGGAGAATATGCTTGAAAAAGTCTTGGTCTTGTTCAGATTTATCCAGGTAATATCTGCTTCTTAACATAAAGTACAGTTGTGTTTCTCGGGTTATTTGCTGCCTGTGTCGCAGTGCCTTTTGTGTAGGTATACTATTTGGTCGTCTTGATATCAATTTCGCTGAAGGATTTTCTGTTCTGTTGATAAAAGGGTAAAGATGTGTTTGAAGCATTCTACAAAAAAGATCTTGCAAAGAGACTCTTGAATTCTCACTTTTCCCCTTCATGTAGATCTCTAAGGTTGAGAACTGTCTTAAGCTTTGTGCGTATAATTCTTTTACGAAAAGTATTCGTTGGTAATAATTTCTTAGACACTGACGTTCTTCTTGCAACTGCAGCTTAAGACCGAGTGTGGAAGCCAGTTTACAAACAAGCTCGAAGGGATGTTCAAGGTTTCATATTTTTTCTTTCTGCCATTCATTTTCCAAAAAAGTTTTTGGTTCTTTATAATGAACATGATTTGGAAGAACAAAATGGATCTTAAATATATCGCCTTACCTTCTGGCTATACTTAAACTACAACTAAGTGTTTTGTACTGTTAGTAAAAGGTTATTTTTGGTACTATGGGTAGTTTGTTGAGTGATATAAAAATGCGTTTCTAGGATCAGGGAGGGTAAGCTAGTTTTGGGTAAAGGCTTCTCTAAGGGGGAGTGGAAGGAACTCCATTATTGATCGATTCCTCTATCTATTCTTTTATTTTTACCAGCAATATATACCTATCTACTTCTACTCTAAGCCATTTTCTGGGTCACTTTATATTTGTTTATAACATTACTTTGTAACTCACATTGATCCAGCTTTTTTACTGGTTTGTACGGGTCTAATCTTATATAAGATCTTTAAGTAATGCTGCACCACAAAATTGAAGTCTTGTTTGCATGCTCAATGATCATAATGGCATCGGTCTCTCTGTTTTCTGTGAATTTTCTCCAGGATGTTGAACTATCAAAAGAAATAAATGAGTCATTCAAAACATCACAACAAGCCAGGTCGAAACTGCCTTCAGGAATTGAGATGAGTGTCCACGTCTTAACGACAGGGTATGTATGGACTATATACTTTCAGAAGGCAACTGCAGGATCACCTGATGATGTGAAATATCATTAAGATTGTTTATCTTTGCTATCACTATAATGCAGGTACTGGCCTACATATCCACCTATGGATGTTAAGCTTCCTCATGAACTAAATGTCTACCAGGTTTTTGCCTGCTGTTCTGATTATATATATATTTGGGCACAATATGACATTTTTCTTGGAAAGATATTCTCAAATTCTTTATGGTTTTTTTTTTCCCTCAGGACATCTTCAAAGAGTTCTATTTGAGCAAGTACAGCGGCAGGAGATTAATGTGGCAAAACTCATTAGGCCACTGTGTACTAAAGGCAGATTTCCCTAAAGGTAAAAAGGAGCTTGCAGTTTCGCTGTTTCAGGTTAGTCCGATCTGTCTTTTTTGCGATCCTTTCTCAACAGGTCCCTTATTACGTTTCTTTTCTTTGCATTGATCTTTTGTAATGATTTGATCGTATAAAAGCTTTCTCTTTTATTTCTCCAGGCTGTTGTCTTGATGTTGTTTAATGATGCACAAAAACTTAGCTTCCAAGACATTAAAGATTCAACTGGCATAGAGGACAAGGAACTGAGAAGGACCTTGCAGTCACTTGCATGTGGGAAAGTTCGTGTCCTGTTGAAGGTAGGCAGGCAGAGATCACAATGCAGTGTCTTCCCTTTCTAGTTATGCACAAAGTTTCCAGCTTGCGTCATTGCTTTTCTCAATATTGTTTTTCTTCTGTGGTTCAATGTTTCAGGTTCCAAAAGGAAGAGACGTAGGAGATGGTGATGAATTCGTTTTCAATGAAGGATTTACTGCTCCTCTGTATCGTATTAAGGTATATATTTTTTGCTACCTCACTTGAAATTTTCTCGAATCTTGTGTTACCCTTTTGTCATTCATCTTTACCAAGCATAGATTTCCCTTTTGCAAGCAATCTTGTCTATGTTAATTTATCAAAATCGTATTTTTTTGGGTGTGCAGGTGAATGCAATCCAGATGAAAGAAACTGTAGAGGAGAACACGAGTACCACGGAAAGAGGTCGACAGTTCCGGCAATACCAGGTGAAATTTCTTCTGCACATTTCGTTTCCAGTAAAAAAAAACGATGAGATGCTTTTGTAGAACGTTTTCCGGCTGGTTTCATTGAGCAAGAAAGGATTTTGGTGAAACGAAACGGGTTCTGTTCTGTCATGATCCTACTACAGATTGATGCGGCCATTGTCCGGATAATGAAGACGAGGAAGGTCTTGAGCCATACTCTTCTAATCACCGAGCTCTTCCAACAGGTAAATTTCCATGTCTGCTCGAATCTATACCCTTGAAAGAGAAAGCAAAAAGAAAAAAGAAAAGAAAACCATTGAAGAGAAATCCGAGGGAGTGAATTTTGTTTGAATGTGAATGTTGCAGCTCAAGTTTCCGATAAAGCCGGCTGATCTGAAGAAGAGGATAGAGAGCCTCATCGAACGGGATTACCTGGAGAGAGACAAGAACAACCCTCAGATATACAACTATCTCGCCTAGAGATATCTCCCCCTACCCGGTAAAAACATTCACACTCCTCTCGACATTTACCCTTGTCTCTGTCTCTGTCTGTATATTGAACTGACGACAATGGAGAACCCTTCTTCTCCAATCATGCAAGAAAACGAAAAAAAAAGGGGGAAGAAAAAGAGTTGGAAATTCAGATCCTTTCGCCTTGATTTAATGTACAGCTCTCAACTTGATTATCTTTTTCTTTTTCTTTTTTAATTTAAAAAAAATCCTTCTTCTCTGTTTCTGTTGTCATATGAATCTCCATTTCATAGAATCCTCCATTTCTCTCTTGTTTTTTGTTTTTGGGCGCGTTTTAGTTCTCTTGCAGGGAGATTTATGTCTTCACATTGAGAGTGCTTAGGGCCTTTCCGGAAAAATGTTCTTCTTGTGGACAAATTATGGGGAAATTCGATTGAGAAAGTAGGCCCCGAAATGTGTTGTTGATATATGTGGTAATGTCGTAAAAAAATTGTTAAGACGATGAAATCAAATAAAGCTTTTTTTTATTTATTTTACGTAGCTTAGTAGATCGCATCTGACACGTTGGATTCAATAGTTTAACAGTGACTAGAACCGACTTTATGAATATATATATATATACACATGTATTGTGTGTGTGTGTGTATACATCCTTTGGGCAGGTTGACTCTCCCCAAGTATCTACGTTTTTACTTGCGTGAAGGCATCGTCACATTGCATCATTGCGCCTTTGGTTTGAGTCAATGGGAGAGTGGTCTATTACCGAACGTTGTGGCGTTTTTGTAGAATGCTTGATTCGTTAGTTTCAAGTTTTCACACACACACACACACACACATATATATACACATATATATATATATATATGTGTGTGTGTGTGTGTGTATGTGTGCGCCTTCTTCATGTTTCAAACATCACGTTTGGTCCCGATGCAGATGACTTTTGATGTGCAAAGGTAGATTCCCCCTCCAATCCATCGATATTCCCCTGCAATGACTTTCCGACAATACACGCATATTCTAGGCACGCTATTTTACATAGGTCCCATTAGATGGGCTGCATGTATCAAAATTATCCGATACCATGTTCGCGGGGAACAAAATAAAATATGTTAAAAAACATTAAATATGTTAAGTTTAATATTCATATATATATATATCGCAATAGCTTTGCAAGTAAAAAAAAATAGCGAAGTAGTGGATAAATATTTTCCACCACTCTACCTCAGATATGGAAATTCCCTTTGAACCGGTTAGCTTTACGAAGTTGGTTTATCTATTCTCCATAGTTTGTCGGCTACTGTGTAGGGTGGTGGGTTTTCTCAGGTCCGCGATACTGTCCTGATGCCGTTCTCGTCAGACCCATGGGCTGAGAGGCGTTACGGTGTCCAGTGTCCGACTCGAAGGATTGTAGGATAGAGGTTTCCATCGTAAAAAAAAATATATTTTCCACCACATAATAATTAAGAAACAAAAGATTTCTCTTGGTTCTATTAATTTGCCTCTGGAATTTCGAATTTTATTTTATTTATATGAATTCACTTCGAACAAATAATTTTCAACGGAAATATTTTTTTGTCATTTAAAAATCATCACATCCAAGAACTCCATGATTTATCGAATTAATTGTTTTTTTCTCCTCAGGATTAGGTATCTGTCCATGGAATGAAATAATGGGACGTCCACATGATCGTATTAAATCAGGAGAATATTTGTTATCCAAATAACACACAAACACCAACGTATATATATTTAAGAGATGCCATCAATATTCCACATTAATAACATGACATAATCAATTTAGAATAACTCTAATTAATTAATATATACATACACACACACACACACACACATATATATATATAGCAGGCAGTTGGAACTAGAGGAAGTCAGGAGAGTTTTCTTTTTGTTTTGGTCGGCGATATTGCTTGATGTGATTTTAGGCCATCAATTTCAAATACCTTTTTTCACTTTCTTTTCTTTGATAAATAGGTTAACATACTTGGAGAGGGGGAATGCACTCTTTCTTCTCCCCCGTCTCTTTTTTTTTTTTTTTTTTTTTTTGGGGGGGTATAGAAAAATCGGAGAGCAATGAAATGAAATGACCAAAATCAAGAATTTAGGTAGATGATTGCCACAACTTACAAACTATAGAAAATTTGGACCGTCATTTATGTAAATACATAGTAAAAGTCAAAACCATTTTCTACGTATCCTACATGCAGGCAAGAATTACATCCATATAAACAGGCCGGACGTTATACATACACATGGCATTTACACACACACTGACACACACATATATATATATATATATATATATATATGTATATTCCTTATTAAATAGTGAATCTTTAATAAGGCCAACCTAGTCTTAGTTTCGGATACATATAGACGTGCATGCATGCGCATTCATGAACTCATGTCCATATATATATAATAACAACTACATGACTCAAATTGACCCATTTGTTTTACTAATACCACATATATACACACACGTGTGTGTGTATGCATTGGTACATATTCTATTGCTTGGACTCTTTTTTCCCGGGTTAGGAGTGTGAGTGTGAGTTGGCCATTGACGTAAAAGGAGTCTTTGATTAAATGTTGGTATAATTAGGGTTAGGAGGGTCAAACCACAATCCACCTATCTTGGATTTCCTTATATCTTACCTAACCCCTATTTTTATTTAGGTGGTTTTGGCCCTAGCAATCGAAACCCTTTTTTTTAATCATGTTTAACTACTAGGTACTAGATTGTTTGGTTAGATAAATCGGCATATATATATATATATATCACATCATTTTATTCGTTAATTATAAGATTTGGGTAATTAATTTCTAAGATTAGTAATTATGTTGCGCCTTGACTCCATTAGGTTGTTTTTTTCTCTCTCTCCTTAATTAAATCACATTCCATAATTTTATGTGTTTGCAATGATTTATTTAGTTTAGTAATTACCACATACTAATTATTAATTAAAGTCACGAATATATGAAAGAATTACCAATTGGTAATACTATAGTAATTACCATGGTGAGGAGATATTGTAACAACAAAATAAGTCAAATACGCTCAACAAAAATGTAGTAATGTGAAGGTTTTTATTATTTTTGGCTATAATTAGTGGGCCAATGCGTTTTTATTTTCATGCATAACTACCATATTATTTAAAAGAGAAACCTCCTAATAATAGAGATTTGTCCAATTTATATATCTTATCTAAAAGAAAATCTAGGACTTGTCGGAGGCAAATAAATAAAGCTACGTTTTGGTCTTTATAATTAGTTAAATTATATAAATTTAATTAGCTTTGGACTTTTGGTCTGATGGGGCATTCTCACTCAGCATCTTGGGTTACATTGAATGTGTACACTGCCTAAACCAAAATCTCCACTTTCTCCTTTTCGAGATTCATTTTGTTAGATCTCTTTCACATGTAAAATTGTACTCATTTTGACAATTTTATAAAATAATATCAATAAACCATGGAAATTGAAATTTCAAGGATGCAAATATATGATATATTTGATAGAAATCGAATGTAAATTACGAAAAAACGATTTAATAGGTCTCATTCCCTATAATATTACTTGAACCAAATTATGATGTGACCAATATCTGCTTTATCATTAACGTTCATCTCCCCGCTGAAAGTTATATGCTCCCAAAGTGTATATATGTATATTTATGTGTATATATATGTGGGTATATCTACACTATGTATATTCGTGTGAATGTGATAATATAATCACTATGGTTGAAATTCTCTTTCTGCTCTTTTGAAAACATGTATTAAATTTAAAATCAAAACTTGTTTTTCTCGGACTTCAGAACATTTGTTCCTAATTTTCAAAGGTAAATACGTTATATTATCAATGATTACACAAAATGGGTAGCCTTTTTTTTTTTCCTTCTGCATATAAGCGAATTTCACCTTTATTTAATACAAATTATGTATTTTTTTTGGGGTGAATTAATAACACGAATCCTATATAATTTTTCTTCATCTTTGCTGTTTTTAGTATACAAGTTAATAGTTAGACTATATTCATATACTTTTGTCACAAATTATAATCAGATTTATATTTTTATTAAAAAAACAGATATTCCACACGAAACAATAACTATTTTTTTCATATGAACATTAATATTATATTTTCAAAAAATCTAATATATTTACAGTTTTTGCCGCTTTCTTATGTCATTTACTTCCCAACCCCTCTCTCTTCCG